AGAAAAAATTGCACCAATCCCATTAAAATGGCTGAGAAAGCCACTAGGGGGACATTCTGAGCTTTTGATTGGTTATTCATGTCATATACAGAAGTAAATGTATATAGCACAATTGTATGATTTTGGTGTGGTTAGTCACTTTTGCACTGTTATTGTTTCCTTTTTGCTGCTTGGACATCATCTACTATGATCCTGCACAACTTGAAGGAGGAATTGTTTCTGTTATACTTTGTTGTGATGACATTATACTTCTCAATAAGGGCCAAACTCCTTTCAGCATTGTCATTTACAACATTCATGTGTTGAGCTGTCTGTAATGCCTCCCTTTATTCCTCTCTGAGCTCCCATGACTTGGGGTTATAATTCAGAAATTCATATGGACTTTTGAGGCACCTCAGAAAGTCTGTTTGTTCTTTGTAATGAAGTCTTCAATCAAGATATTCTCAGACTTTGTGATATTCAGCTGGATGTGCTTTGGAGAGTCATCAATGCCTTTCTTCTGTCTTAGTGTCTTTACCATTGCTAATTTTGTCAAAACTAGTGAGTTCTTCATTGAGATTCCACAGATGTACAGCAAATATTTAATAGGCAGATTTTGAAAGTGTAGAATTCACATTTTTTTATACTTAACAAGACATTGTAGGAAGTTAAGATCATTGTGAGGAGCAGAAATGTCATCAAGAGCAGTGAACCATGCCCTAAGATAGACTCAAACAACAAAGGTGCAGACGTCACAAAGTCCTCTTTTCTCACAGCCAATGAACTTAAACTGTCCCACAAACATCCAGGTCCTTGGGGCATATAATGTGTTGGCCATATATGATGCAGTGCCCCAGGTGCTATAAATTGCACTCCATGAGGAGGGACATCACCAAGGAAGGTTATGGATAGTTCAAGAAGCTCTCAATAATTGTCTCCAGGTTGGCTGACCTGAAATTGTCTTGTAGCAAACCCATTGACACTGTCCTTAACTTACTCTATGGCTTCTGCTACTTCATCTTGGTCAGCTGTAGTTTCAGAACTGGACTGATCCACGTATTCCCAAGACAGCAGGAATCAATTGAAAATTTCAATATCTGGACCAGAGGAAAACCCCACTCAGTTTCTGAAAACACATGCCAAGACAAGTTTTAAGATATAGTAACAGAATATTCCAGAAGTAAAAATGACACATAGATTATTTTGTGTGTGTAATATTCTTGAACATTCTGAATAATGTGAAATACTCTGGAATATTCCAGAATGTGCTAGAATATTCCATTGTAATATACTAGAACATTGTAGATAATGTGAGCTACAAGGTAAAATTTCAACTATCTTGAGCAACCCCTAAATGTTATTCAATACGGATAACATTCGGTGTGAATTTTTCATATATAGGAACAAAATTAGGATGTGAGAGTATGAAAATCAAAACTTCAAAAATAAGGACCAAACTATAGATGCTTTGGTCCAATAAGATTGTTGAATCATTAAGTTAGAAGATATATTTCCAGTATTTTACAAGGAATTTTGTGCATATGTGTTTTGTTTCTGTAAAAATAAACCTTCAAATCTTGAAGTTGTGAAGTTACGTTATCTGAAAGGTTATAATCAGTATAAATTTGTAAATGTTTCTTTTTTTGTTAGATCTAAACTCAAAATTTACATAACTAACATACTGTGTGATATAAGGAACTGTTGTAATAGTGTAGTGTATGTGAATAAATATATATATAAATATATATCCTGTATTAGGTCGTCAAGGAATTAATGTCGCATTTTGGAACACTTTCATTAACCACCCCAAAAAACTTACATCACGTATAATAGTTAAATGAACTGCCTAAACGTCACGTTAGTGTAGCCTATATAATGTTTAAAGTTTAGTATACTCTAATCTCATTTGGAATGTAATGCTGTTTGAATACAAGAACTGAAACAACGCCTCTGTAGCCACAAAGAATATCAAAAAGTTTATGGAAATATTTTGAACAATCGTAAGTGTCAACAAGTGTCAGCAAGTTTCGTTCAGGTGACTTTAGCCTTAAAACTGTCATGGCAGGGGCCAACATGTTGGAATTGATATTGATGCTCTGAAGATGCTTGTTGAGTCTAACTCAACACACTCACGAAATGGCCCTGAAATTGCATGTATCTCATGAAACAATACGTAAACATCTAAGGAATATTGAAAAACTCCTTAAAGAA